GTATAAATATACCACCTCTTCTTTATCCAGTCCTCTGTTGTTGGACATTTAAGCTGTTTCCATGTCTTGGCTGTTGTAAATATTGCTGCTATGAACATTGGGGTGCAGGTGTCATTTTGAAGTAGGGTTCCTTCTGGATATAAGCCCAGGAATGGGATTCCTGGGTCATATGGTTAAGCCTATTCCTAGTCTTTTGAGAAATCTCCATACTGTTTTCCACAGTGGCTGCCCCAAACTGCAATCCCCCCAGCAGTGTAGGAGGGTTCCCTTTTCTCCACAGCGTCTCCAGCATTTGTCATTGATATACCACATCTTTTTTATCCATAGATCTATTGATGGACTTAGGTTGTTTCCATGTCTTTTAAAAAATGTTTCTTTCTTTAATTTTTCTATAAATTTTTTTATCATTATAATATAGAAATGTTGTTTCCTTCAGGAAAATACTCTGTTTGCAAAAGGAGAGGGTTGGCTATGTGACAGGAGGAGTCATCTCTGCAGAAGCCCAGGTCCCACATGAACACGCCACGGTGCAGGGCAGGCAAGGGGAAAAAACAAGGACTCCTTGCTCTTCCCTGGCTTGGCCAGCAGAGACAGGGAGGAGCCCAGGAAAACCTCTTCCTTCTTTCCTGCTCTGTCCACACGCAGCTCGCCAGGGGAGTCCGGGCAGACTGAGAGTTCACTACTCTGGTCAGAGCCATGCGAGCCCAGGCTCTGCTACCCACCCTGCTTCTCTGTGTTCTGCTGTTGCAGGCCCAGGGAGGGCACCGTAACCTGAACAGGAATCAGAGTAGGTGATGGATGAGGGATAGGGATGGGGAACAGGGAAGAGCGGGCTGCGTCCAATCTCAGGAGAACCTGGGAATCGGAAACTTTCAGCACACTGTGCTCCGACCACAGCACTGTCAACATGCTGGTTCCTCCCAGACCATGGTCCTCCAGCCCCTTTATCTGGCCTTGGAAATAGTGATGATGATGGAAAGGAAACTGACATCTTTTTATTCTCCATCCCTCAAATCCAGAGACAGATGGTACCTACAGTAGTGAAAGAGACACTGGAGCTGAGAATCAGGAGGGAAAACAAAACAATTCTTTGATTTATGCCCACATGTGGTGGGTGAACATCCAGAGATGTTCACCAGAGTAGGCACAGAATGAAAGGACATTGGGAGAGCAAAGTTGGGGGTACACAAGTCAAGTTAAAATTCTCTCAGAGGGCGCAGGACAGTGGCAGTGAAAGGGAAATATTGCAAGTGGTATTTTCTGGGAAGGGCCAGGGATACTGCAGACAGTGACAGTATGAGAGGAGAGAGAGGGTGAGGAGGCATGTTCATCTACCTCTCCTGTCCCTGCAGATCCTGGAGAGTTGGCAGGATGTCCTAGACTTCGTTGAGTTCTCAAGGTCAGGGTGTAGATGGATGTGGGGAGTGGGTGGAATTCACCAAGGCCATGATTGATGGGGGAGACCGGGTCCTGGTGGCAGGGATATGGAGGGTCTGGGAAGTCCAGGCATTGAGGTCTACTGGGGGAGGAGGAGGAATAGGATTTAAGATATAACAGATCACCAGGATTTGGTGAAGGACAGAGGGCGAGTTCCCTGAAAAGTCCTAGAGTGTCATGAGTGGGACCTGAGTTCTCAGGTCTTTGAGGAGGCTTTAAACTTGAGAAGACTGCTCTGTTGAACCTGGTTCCCTTGACCCTCCTCCTTCTCCTGCTCCTTTCAGATATGAGAGCCTGTATGAAGCGACCCGACCAATATCTTTGCAGCAAACACTGTTCATATTTCCTAAAGTGTCCAACCAATACCACGTGCTGTGCCACCTTCTGCGGGAACGTCTGCATGAACATCCTGTGAGTCAGGACGCAGGCTGGGCTGTGCATCCTGCTCCCCGAGCCCTCCATCCAGAGACTGTGCCTGTGATGGAAGCACAAGGACCTCACACCCGGGCACGAGGATGTCAGTAGGAATGCCACCCTCCCCACCGCCTGAACTGCTTGTTCCTGTTTAATAAACCACAACAAATGCGCAGGGACCTGCCTGTTTCTTTCCCAGTGCTTGGGATCATTGAGCACCTGGCGCAGACCCCAGAGCGCACCCCCCCAACCCAGGTCCAGGTCTCTGATCTCTCCCCTTGTCATGCTTCCCTGCTCTCGCTCCCTTCGGCCTCCCTCCGGGCCCCTGCGGGCTCAGCTCCCTTGTTGCTCTGCTCACTGAACCAGTACTCCAAGGGAGAAACTGCTCATGGGTGGCATCTCCCAGTGCCAAGGAGAACATTCCTCACCCTGGAGCCACAAGCACAAGTTCAATGTGAGGTGGGTGGAGGTTGAGACCCTGGAGCCCAGGGTGGGAGGCCCCTGAGGAGGACTCTTTTTAAACTTGGTCCACCCCCATCCCACTCTCCTCATCCTCCTTGGGAGTTCC